AAAAAAAAAACCCCACAACAACTGTCCATCTGTTTGTCGCCATTCTCAGCTCTTTCACTGTCGCTGTCACTTTGTCTGTGGCTCTTTCTCTTGAAATATGCTTTGCAGCAGCTTTTATAAACTGAATGTCCACTGTCCACTGTTTGTTGTTACTGTTGCAGTAAGCGCTTGTCGCTGAGCATTTCATTCATTTGTTTTGCGGTTTTGTTCAGCTGACGGCTTTCGAGCTGCACTTTTCCTTTTGCTGGCTTTTCCATTATTGTTATTATGATTTCTTTTCTTTTTGCTACAACGCGATTTTAATTTTTGTACAGCTGCCACGCCCACGCTGCTCCAGCGCTGTTGCCCTCATGTTTTGTTAGCATTTTCATAAATTTTCACAGCTCTCTCAGAGAACCAAAGCCTGACTCTGACACTGGACAGAGATGGGGGAGGACGGACGTGGCGCAGACCACAAAGCATAGCCCAAGCGGCGTGGGTTACTCATGTGTCATGAGCGCTGACTGGCTGGACCGCCCCCCCCCCCCCTTCCTCAACCATCCACTCCCTTTACTGACTACCCCTCAACTGCAGCTGGCTTGGAATTACACGCTTGTTACTCATGCAACGGCGCTGTTTGCCTCGTGTTCACCTCGCGATTCTGGTGAACAATTGCCAAGTCTCAAAAACGTAAAACCCATGTGCGCGCGCGGTCTGACAAAGAACAGAGCCAAGAGCGAAGCTCAGTGGCGTGCGGGGCAGGGGATTGGCTTGTCGCGGAGTTGAAAGCCGCAGCGGCAGTTGCAGTTGCAGTCACTCGTTTGCAGCCTTTCGATTTGCAAATTGCATAACAATTCGCCAGTTGCCAGTTGGAAAAACTTTTCAAGTGAGTCGCTGCCATGTGTTGGCCAAGTGGGTGGGCCGCTGTAGATGGGAGGGAAGTGGGTGGCACGGCACGGCTCATAAAGCCACAGACTTTTAGTTTAAATCTGGTTGAATTAACGCTTCAAGAAGTTTAGCTTTAAACTAAAGCAAGTTTAAACTGAGAAGAAATTAGATCTAACTTAAGCTGAATTTAAAGTGGTTCGGTTCCAGAACCAGTTCGGCTTATAAACTGGTTTGAATTGATGCAAGCTTTAAATAAAAGGCTAAACAAATGTGTATTCATGCAACAAAAAAAAAAACTGACATGTTACGGTTCAGGTTCAGGTTCAACTGGAGTGCAAACTCGTTCAGGTTCTGAACTAGGTTTAGGTTCAACTGAAGTGCAAGATTGTTCAGGTTCAGAACTAGTTTAAAAGAATGCTTTGTGAGAATAATTTGGTAAAAAGAAAGGGAAATATACGGTACGCTTATATCAGAATAGTGAAAGATCAACTGGAACCGGTTCATTTGAATCTTTTAGAAAACAAAACAATGTTTCATTTCAAGAACCAGTTCAATTATGGTCTACAAGCATCAAAGATGCTCGCGTTTTTTTAAAAGTAGCCACGTTCAAATTGATAAAGAGGACAAAATAAAATGAACTGGATCATGAGCCGGTATATTTCCACTCAACTATTTGCGGCATGCGCATTGAATTGCCAGATAAATTGTATTGAAAACAAATCAAACTGAAGCAAATTTCTATCAGCTTCGGTTCAACTGAACTAGTTCAGCAGAGTCACTTGGCATTGCGCTGGCATTTTGAAGCAGTATAAAAGCAGCGACATAATCAAAAATAAACACGCCACGCTGCACATTGCGTATACGCAATGTTGCCCCATTTTGCAGCACAATTTTTCATCATCTCAACTTAACTAGGTGCAACCCCGACCCAATACGCCGCAACCTCTCGCTCGTACACCCCCGTTGCATTTTTATGTTAATTTTAAGTATTATTGCATTGCAATTTTAAATGGCAAACATTTTGTAGCTGTCAGCGGAACAGTAGAACTACTTTTATTTAGGGGGTACCGCTGTTAACACCACCAACCCCCCGCGGCCCGTGCTGTGCTGGTTTGCCCAGTCTCCAGCTTGACTTTTATTATATTGTACAATATTTTAATGCAAAATGGAAAAAATTACTTTCATTTTCCTCGGAATTGGTTTTACAAGCAGCAGCAGCAGCAAAAGCCAAGTTAAAAAACTTTGAGCCAAAACAAGCAAACGGCGAAAACAGCGCGCAAAAGTTTTTCTGCTTCTTCGTCCTTTCCTTTTTTTTTAAGCAAGTGAAAAATGCAACAGTAACCCAGCAATGCCCCCGGTGCGCCGGAGTCCCTTACTCCAGCTGCATTACAACGCTCAGCTGGGATTGCTTTAGTCCCCCCAGCTCCTATTGTGAATCCGCCCGCGCTCTCCGTCGCTCTCTCGTGCAATATATGCAATGCAAAAGTTTTTAATTTAGCGCCAACTTAACGCTGAGACTTACAACGCAAAGCAGCTGGAAGAGAAATGACACAGGCAAGGGGAGGGAGGTGGTGTAGTTGTTGCTAAAATATGCTTTAAAAAATAATCAACTTGCTCAGATTGCAGCCAGCTGGTTCTGCTTACGCCCAAGAAATGGTCCATTTCCTTGGCCCAACTAATTCCCCAGCTGCCTGACGAGCTTAGCCCAGCCAAACCTCTGCCCACGCCGCGCAATTTCGATAGCCCCCTTTTAGCTGGCGCCTCTGATGGACTGGATGCAGTGATGCCTAAGAAGCAGCCAAGCGCATTTCGTGCGTAAATCTGCCTGGCCAGAAATGGACAGCGCCAACGGCTTAAGCCCACGTCAGTGCTGCTCGCCTCTACTGCCACCCAAAGGACCCCCAGACGGCGGCCATCAATAGCTTAGGATACGGCAAAAGGCATTTCGAAATCCGAGTGGCAGGCAACATGAGGCAGCTGCTGCCTGCCTGCTGACTGCCCGCTACTTGCCCCAGCATGAAACAGCAGCTTGAAGCTCACTGAACCAGCCACGCATCAGCTTTTGGTTACAATTCTCAACAATGTGTGAGCTTTGTGTCAGGCTGCACCCTTAAATAATCATAAGAGCGTCTTTGACCCTTTTACAATAAATAATATATACAAATATGTATATATAATAATAATGTAGGCTTTTGCATTAAGTGGAGCCGAAGGATTTGCAAAGTCAGACTGAAAGTTATTTCTGCTATTTAAGCTTAATTACTTATAATTACATAAGTGTTTCCATTTGTCGGTAACAATTGAAAGGTATTCCTTTTATTTAAGCCTAATTACTTTTAATTACTTAAGTCCGTTACAATTAAACAAAGTATTGAATCCCAAATGAATTACTCAAAAAAAATTACAGGCACATAACTCTGCTTTAATTACTTGAGTAATTACATTATTCCATTGTATTTCCTCAATTTATTATATTTATATTATTTAGAATTATATGTAATTGAATTGTTGCGGAACAATATTTATTACAGACAATTACTTCTATAAAATAAATATATGTATATATATATATATTTTTCAGATTTATGTTCTTTAGCCTTTAGACAATTACTGAATTAATTTCATACTAATTACAAGTATTGAAGTAGAAAATGAACAACCCTTAGTTCATATATATAAAATAAAGCCAATTAAGTTTTGACGTTTAACTTTAACTCTAACTTTTAACTCTTGCATTTAGAGGTCGGCAAGCTTATGAACTTTGTAATCAAGGGAATACCTATTGTTTTGATATTCTTAAAGTTAGAGTGAGAGTTGCTTGATAATAATCAAAGGTGAGTTGTTTTTGCCCGCTACTCCTTATAAGCCCCGTATGCTCAACTTGTATCCTTTCACACTTCCTTTCAGTTTGCAACAAACATAAATCGCTCAACTCAAATCGAGTTGAGTTTTCGTTTAGTTTTTGCGCACCTTTAAACTTTAACTAGTTCAGATGGCGTGAGTTTTTTAACGCCCGCAATATGAACACAGACACTGCAGTGGGGGTTGGGCGGACAGCGGGGACAGTTCGGGTCAGCGGATCGTGTAGTGTACAAGCTGGACGGGTCAGTTGGTCAGAGGCGGCGGCGGCGGGGGTTCTGTGTGTGTGTGTGTGGGGTGAAATGCAGCCAACTTTTATTTTGTTACATCGCAGAGCGACTCGCGTGTTGTTGTTCGTCGTGTTGTTGTTGCTGGTCATGTTTTTCTACAATGTTTTTTTTTTTTTTTTTTGTTATTGTTATTTAACCCTTGTCAAGTCGCGCAGCGGCCCCAAAAAAATGTGGGTCACTTGACGCACAGCAACAGCAGCGAGCAGCAGAAGAGCTGCAAACAGGAGCTGGAAAATTTATTGTGCGTCGTTGTCGCCGCCAGTTTTTAGTTTTGGTCAGAGCTTTGGCTGCCAAAAACTGGGCAACAACAACCAGAACAACCAGAACAACAACAGCAGCAGCAATGTTGATGTTGTCGTGCATTTGCTCCAGTTTTAGCTCGATTCCACCCCCCCCCCCCCTCACACACACAAGTCCCCCCCGCTGCTGTTTTATTGAGTGTCTGCGTTTTGGGGTTTCCAGGCAAATAGGAAGTTTATATAGGTTGACAGCTATTCGGTCTATTCCCGAGCCGAATTCTATTTTGTTTTAATTTATTGAAGCACTTTTGAAAAGCGCGACATTGTTGACCGGCTATATAGATAATATTAATAGCTCCAACTGGTCAGCCAAAAGGTGATCGCCTCTAATGGGCCCCCTTCGCATCGGGACGCACTGATAGCCCCTCGAAAAACATTTGCGTGAAAGATGTCACGCCGTAAACATTGTTTATTGAACCATTAGGAAAGCGATAGCCTACCCTCAGACAATCTCGGTAAGGCTGGCCCAATAAAATGCTGTGACAAATGCTCAGCCGAGCCGTTGATAATATTCGGGCCCAAAGTGCACTCAATAATTCTTAGCCAATCGCAATCTTTGCCTAAAAAAGGTCCAGGCAAATGATATGCAAGTGTCGCATGATCATAACTCAGCAACTACTTGGTTATTTGGCTTAAATTTGGTATGTAGATTGGCTAAGTAAATACTCGACTTAAATTCAGTATAAGTCCTTGCTCTTACTGTCATACTTATGAGAAATAGAGAAGTTGAGTAACTTTATCCATATTAACACAAGCTCCAATGGCTTCGATAATGCGCAAGCCCAGCGCTAGTGTTATATTCTTTCATGGCTCGGGCGATACGGGCCCCAATGTGCTGGAATGGGTGCGCGGTTTGATTGGCAGAGACTTCAACGGCTCGCATATTAAATATGTATTTCCCACGGCGCCCATGCAAGAGTATACGCCCTTTGATGGCGAGATGTCTACGGTGTGGTTCAATCGCGAATCCGTTGATATTGCCGCCGGGGAGGATCGGAGCAGCATGTCGCAGAGTTACGATATAGCCAAGCAATTAATACAGCATGAAGTCGATCAAGGCATACCACACAGTCGCATTATTGTCGGTGGTTTTTCGATGGGTGGCGCCTTGGCGCTGCACACGGGCTACCACGTGACCCGGAATTTGGCTGGCGTATTTGCACATTCCTCCTTCCTCAATCGCAAATCGGTGGTCTATGAGTCGGTCGAGGCGGGATCTACGCTTCCAGAGCTTTGCATGTTTCATGGCGAGGATGACAAAGTTGTCGAGTTTCAATGGGGTCGCGAGACGTTTGACAGATTGCAAGAATTGGGCGTTATTGGCACATTTACGAGCTTGAATGATACGGCACATGAGCTGAAGAAGAGTTCAATTCTGGAGGTTGAGCAGTGGATTCTTAAGAAGTTGCCCTAAGAAGCTAGCATTTCAATATAAATCACTTTTTCAACACTGTTCTTCTAATTTCGCCTGGGTTATTTGTTGGCTTACGGTCAATGATCCGTATATGGAATTTGTTTCAATAGAAATTGTTAATAAAGCACCTGCTGAAGCTTTAAAATAATAATATAAAATATAATATTACTTCCCTAAAATATTCCAAGTCATTTTGCCACACTGTCAGACTTCTTTTCTAATTTATGTTGTTCACAGTCATGCGTTTCTTTTACTTTCTAGATATATATTTCATTTACTTTAAAGTACATTTTAGACAAACGATATCTTGAGCAAAGTCTTCAGCTATTAAATATTTATGAGGGTATTTTGCAACACTGCCAACCTTTTGCTATTATTTTTTGTTATATTCATTTTCTGAGCATTGTCTTCAGTTTCTTTTGCCTAGATATATACGAATGTATATTCTGGAAATTGTTTTAAACTAAATTTAAAATATTTACCTAACCTTGAATAAACATTGGCTATTTTCGAACACTGTTTTAGAATGGATTCATTTTTGTTTACTTGTCGTTTGCTGCAGTACGGTGCTCGAACACTATTCCTTTTTTGTGCGCATAGCAAATACCAATTGAGTAATGCCCTGGGCAACTGCTCTGCTGCTGCTGTCCCTCCCCAGCCTTCCCCCCCCCTGCAGATGCTGCCCGCACGCCCAACAACTCATTTGCACCAGCTCTTCCTCTATTTATACACTTCAGCACCTGTTTAAATAGCCAAGTTTGTTGCACAGCTAATTAAGTCAAGTTTATGCAAAGGGGTTTCACTCGCTTCGTTTTCGCACGTTCGCACCTGGCGTCCCTCTTTTGCTGTTGGCCCCACCCTCCGCCCTTCCAACGCTGGCCACCCTTCGCTGTAGCCGTTGAGCTGCTGTGAGCTTCTAATGCCTTTGTTTTCCCACACATTGGCCCCAGCCAGTGGCAGCAGTCGAGCTGTTAATGTTAAGTTCTGTTGCAGTTCAGTCCTATCCACTGGCCTCCCTCCCTTCCGGCCCCTTCATTGCTCGGCACTTCCCTCTGTTTTTCTGCTTCCATTGTAATGTGTAAATGAGCCAGTTCTGATGAGCTGAATTGAGTTGGAGCCCCCTGCTCGAGCCTGGCCACAATGACACTGATGGATTTGCTGTTAATCAATATGAAATGAGAAGAGCAACAGCAGCCACCAAACAGTTGCTGCCCCACTCATGCTCGCCCGCCTGCCTGTTCGCTGTTGCAGACAGCCACGCCTCCATTTCCCTCATTGCACAGCTTTAGCTTTTTGCCGCTTTGACGCTTTTGGCCAGAACAGCTGAATGAGATTTCACACAACTCCGTGTTGCCCTTTGCCTGACCTGGCATATAGCCAGAGTTTTTTTTTGCTACTGTTATGTGTGCTGAGTGTTGGTTAACGTACATTTTCATTTTTTTTTTTGCCAGTGCGCTTAACTTTTGTTTTATGAGAAAATATTGTACAAGTTTTTTAATTGCTTTTACGCTTAAAAAACACGCAAATTTTGCCATCGAATAAGTCGTGAGTGTGTGTGCGTTTGTGTGTGTGTGTAAGTGTTGAACAACAACTTTATTTCCATTTCGGTTGCATATTTGGCAACACTCGGGAAAAAACTATGCAGAAAAGTTAATTTCTGCACAAAAATACTTTTTGAAGCAATTGCCAAGTAAAGTTTATATCCTGTGTGTGTGTGTGTGTATGTGTGTGTGTGTAGGTATGTGTGTGTGTGCGCGTGTGTGTGTGTAGATGTCTCTGAGTGATTTATGATTACAAATGGAATTTATGAACAAGTCACATAGCAGACAATTCATAAATATTTATAAATTGTGCCAGCAAAACCGAAACAATTAACTTAATCGATTTGTGGGCGAGAGTCGAAAAGTAGGCAGAGCTGGCAACAACAAACGACAGTCGATTGATTACTTAAAAATTATGTGTGAAACCCAAAAATAAAACCAACAACAACAACAGCAACAACAAAAATCGTTGAGAACTTTTGCTGTGAAGTTTTCAAATTAATTCGTGTCTTTAGGCAACCGCAGCCGAAACTTTGGAATTGGCAAGCGCTTGAGAAATCTACGTAAAAGAACAATAAATAAATTCAAAAATAGAAAACAAGGTTAATCCCCAAGTGCCTGATTAGTAGATACCCTGTATTGTACTTTTACATGCAACGTACCAACACTTTCTGTTTTCCGGCGTTTTCTCACACTGTTTTTACACTATTAGAAGATGGCTCTCAAAGGCGATACGCTTCACGTAAGGCTCGCTTGAGCGCTGATAAAAAAGCCCAAAACAAGCCAAATTTTCTTCTATATCAATTAAAAGATTTTTCTGAATTTTATTGTCCTTCGCTTTCTTCTTCAAGCACATGCAACCCTGTTTACTCACAGTGTTGTACAGGGCATAATACATTCAAAACATAAAACAGTCTTCAAGGCAATTAGCATATGTCTGCCGCATACATCTTGTATCTGCGATCAGCGCGCCTCTGTGTGTGCAAGTGTGTTTAATTTTAATTGAAATTCATTTACATTTAAAGTCAAACAATTATGCGCATTTTCCCAGGCTCCAAAAGAAACAATTTGTAAATGATGATGCATGCAAGATAAAACCAAAGCCAAAAGCAAAAAACGTATGTTGAAAATTTGCATAAATTAAAATACCGAAGAAAATAACAGCCGAAACCGACAAGAGATAAAGAGATGCTAAAATATCTATATCTGTGGACGCTTAAGCTGAATGTCGCCTCGTTTATCTACAGACTTGGTCAATAATGCATTATGAGCTGGCCAACAGATGCTGCTGGTGCCACAGCTGAAGGATTATAATGCCGAGGATTTGTGGGCAAAAAACATTTTGCAGATGCTTTTACTTGGGGTCGTTTGCGCTCGTCCGAGTAAATGTTTTGTATATGTTTGTAATCTCGTAATCGATGCAATTTATATGAAAATACTAAACAAATTGCATAAGAACACACACAAGACACACACTCCTCTCTCTCTCTCTCTCTCTCTCTCTCTTACGCATATCTGTGTAATACAATCAAAAACTTTGTTAAGCGCATTATGCATGCCTCGACTGGCGAATTGGGGACGGGCAAGTGGTGCGGGCATCTTCAATGGGTTTGCCTGACCAATGGCAATGGCCTTTTGTGTGCTGCTAGCTAGCTGCTCATTGTGCATGAAGTTTACATGAATTTGCTTGAAATTGTTTGCCCGTCCGCCTTATTGTTGCCACACATGAATTTCATATATAATATAATTTTTTTGCCCTCTTTGTTGCAAACTGAAATGGAAAGTGAGACGGGGCGTGGCTGCTGGTTACATGATGCTCAGCTAAGCAAGTGCGTTGAGCAAAACTTCCCAAACACGTGCCTAATTTTGGCACTTTAAGTTACATATTATTGTGCTCGAGTTCGAACTTGGCTGCACAGATTTTGTACGAATCGCACGCAAGAGTTGGCCAAAACTCTGCAAAATAAACACCCTTTAGAGTTTTAGGCTAAGTCCACACATCAATTTGCATGCTAAACTGACAAGCTGAGCACAAGCTTTAAAGAAAATTAAACAAACGGCTCAGATTTCTGCACAAACTATCAAATTTGTCTAAGCTTTTAAGACAATTAAATGAAATGTACATATTTTAAATATATAAGAGCACGGGCTTAAAATTTTGTATGTGCAAACTTATGTTGCACAAACTTTATAAAATTGCAAGTATATGCGGCACGCCGAAGATTTAATACCCTTGTCAACATTTGCAGATATGTGAGCAAAGTGAAGCTCGTCAATGTTAAGTTTGGTGGAAATATCTTAGAAAACATAATATTTTGCCATACAAGAACCTAATTCTCGACTGATCTTTCCTATGGCAGCTATATTATAATGTGGTCCGATCCGGCTAGATCTTTCATATGAACTGTGGATGCTGATCTAGAATATATATACTTTATGGGGTAGGAGATATCTCCTTCTATGCGTTATATTTTTCATTAGAAAATAATAATACCCCCTGCTAGGCTATAAAACATGCTCTAGAACTCTAGAACTTTGATTTAAAAAAAGGGGGCAAAAAAAAAAAATAACCCAAAATAAATATGCAAATCAACGAAATTATAAAGCACAAACGAAACGAAGCTGATTTGGTACAAATCCTAAATAAATGAGCTAATGGCAAACAGTTTTTAAAGTTTTCGGTTTTCAGTTTGAGGAGGGGGGGGGCAAATAAAAACTGAGTTTTGGGCAAATATTTGCTGCAAACATACAGAAAAGTGCCCCGGCAGCAACTGGAAATTGTTGGCCAAGCATTTATTTTCACTGGCAAATTAACTGCTGCTTCTTCTTCTGCTTTTTTTTTTTGTTGGCCCCTTTGGGAGCTGGCACGTTTAATTGTGCGTGCACAATTTGCACACACGCACACACAAAGTCAATTTAGTGTAAAATTTGAAATGATTTTCACTTTTTTTTTTCTTGCCTGCAAACCTGGCCAAGGACAAAGGATAATCCAGCAGGGAGTAGGGCAGGCCCATAAAAAGGCAAAAAGCTTTAAACATGTGTTTGTCAACTCGCAAATGAGTCGGCGAATTGTGCATATGACACAGAACGTTGTGTAACTCAGAAAAAGATACTTTTGAACAAGATGAGTTCGCGGAGCAAAAGTAAATAAATGAACTTGCAAAAAAGCAGAGAAAACAGCTGAATAAAAAACTCAAAATACAAAAAACAGAAACAGAACCGAAACAAGACAAAAGCAGCCCACGAAAACAAATGAGAAATTGCTCAATGCGAACAAAAAATTGTTAAGTAAACAAGTGAAAAATGCAGAAACTGTTTGATAAGAAGAATGAAGAGCGGGAAATGTAGGCAAAAAAACGAACGAATTAAAGTCGCGTACAAATTGCTAAGAGCCGTACAAAAAATGCACGAGTTAAGAATGCCACGACTAGCAGATACCCTGCATGCTTCCAATTATCAAAAATTTCTCGTAACTGCAAAGATTTGCAGAGTAGCTTTCAAGACTAAATTATATTATTAGTTTTATTTATGGGGAAACTTAAGTTTTTGAAACTTTTGTATTGGTTAAATGTCCTATATTCCCCTTACATATTCTATTATTTTTTTTAATTCCAGATATTGAAAAAGAGTTTCCATTT